TCCCCCGATTGGCAACAGAGAAGTTGTCCCAGCCCTCTGTCAGGCAAGCCTATCAAGAAGCACTGCATAACGAACTCTCGCTGTCTTGTCCTAATGATACTGAACTTCAGTGGAATAGGATCTCGGCCACTATGCACGACGCAGGAGCATCTGCTTGTGGCACTATCAGTCGTCACCGCACCAGTCACTGGATATCCGAGAGGTCCGTGAACCTTTTGGAAGCTAGAAGGCACCTCCCGGCTGGTTCTGAACACAATGTGACCAGACAGGCTATTAGGCGTGAACTAAAGCGGAGCCTACGTGCTGACAAGGAAGCCTGGTGGACCAGTCGGGCTCAAGAAATGGAGGAGGCAGGAGCAGTAAGCAATTACCGGAAGCTCTTCCAGCTAATCCGCACCACTGGTCCGAGAAAACCAGGCGTCAGTGAGACAATCCAAGACAGCGCGGGTGCGCTGATACACAATAAGGAGCGCCGTATGGCTCGTTGGGCTGAGCACTTTGAACATCAGTTCAGCTGGCCCCCTGCTCCCGGACCTCTTTCTACTCAGGTGATGCAGGACGAGCCATGGACAGTTAGTTTAGAGCCTCCGTCGGAGGCCGAGGTCCGAAACGCGATCACAGCCCTCAATCGTTTTCGTGCCGCTGGCCCGGATTCCCTCCCACATGCACTATTTAAGAATGGAGGTGAGGTCCTCTGCAGGGCACTGACCTCCCTATTCGAACGTATCTGGAACGAAGAGAGTGTGCCGGCTAAGTGGAGCGAATCGATTATAGTGGCAATATACAAGAAGGGCAGTCGCACAGACTGTGCGAACCACAGGGGTATTAGCCTAATGCCAGTTGTGACAAAATTACTGGCCTCGATTATCGTTCGTCGCCTCACTGCAGAACGGGAATCTCGGATTAGAGAAGAGCAGGCCGGTTTTCGCCCAGGACGTGGCTGTATAGACCATATATTTACTTTGCGGCAGGTGGTAGAGCAGCGCCACGCATACCGCAGACCGACAATAGCTGTGTTCCTCGATTTCAAGAGTGCGTTCGATTCAGTCGATCGATCGATTCTGTTCGAAATACTTGCGCGGAAAGGTGTTCCCACGAAATATGTGAACATCCTTCGTGCTCTATACTCGAACACTACAGGCCGCGTCAGGGTCTATGGTGCCCTATCGGATAGCTTTTCGACTACAAGTGGCGTTCGACAGGGTTGCCCGATTTCCCCATTTTTGTTCAATTTCGTCGTGGATTCTATCATGGAGTGTTCCCTTGCGGAATCTCACGATGTAGGTGTTGAAGTGCTGCCTGGTGAACGGTTAGTTGATCTAGATTATGCGGACGATATCGTCTTGCTTTTCGACAATGTTGAGACCGCACAATCAACCCTGAATAGCCTATCTAGAGTGGTCCCATTATTTGGTATGCACTTCGCACCTTCAAAGTGCAAAGTGTTGCTGCAGGACCAGCAGCCACTTGATGACCCCTTGACGCTTGCTAACGAGGAACTCGAGGTGGATGATCAATTCACTTATCTTGGCAGCTGCGTCAGCAATGATGGGCGCATAGAAACTGACGTGAGCTCACGCATTGCAAAGGCTAGAGCTGCCTTCTTGAACTTGCGTCATCTTTGGCGACAGAAGGGAGTTTCCCTCCGTCTGAAAGGCCGTGTATACAAGGCCGTAACAAGGGCCGTTCTGCTGCATGGTAGTGAGACTTGGCCCCTTCGGTCTGAAGATCTGAGGCGCCTTCAAGTCTTTGATCATCGTTGTTTGCGAAGCATTGCTGGTGTCGGATGGCACCAGCGTGTCCGCAACGATGATGTGCGTAGGCGAGTACTAGGTGGTGATGATCATGCTAGCTCCCTAGAACAACAGATAGCACTGAATAAGTTACGTTGGCTCGGGCACGTGCTACGCATGCCTGTTCACCGCTTACCTAGGAGGGCCTTGTTCAGTCTACCAGGTGTCGGATGGCACAAGGCTCGAGGTGGACAGAAGTTGACTTGGCATCGGGAAATGATGTCACTGACGACCAAACTGGGTACCGTCGGTCCGTCTCGCCTTCCGGGTTGGAGTCCACGTGACTCGCCTTGTGCTTGGCTCGAGACTTTACAGGACATGGCTCGCAACCGACACCAGTGGCGCGTCTGCTGCCGTCTCCTAATCGGATTGTCTGTTTAAAGTGTGTTTGGTGCTGAGTTATTTGCGGGGTAATGGCTGATTATGACGCGTGGCAGTGAAAGCCGCAAGGAAGCTGTCTCGCCGATGCCGCCTTATCTTTGCACAATAGCCAGCTGTTTGTGACGTTATGTTGTCTACACAAGGTGTAGGCGCCTTGACCCTGAATGTTTGCTTAGGGCATTAAGGTTTTCAGGTAAGTCCCCCTTCTCTCCCTCTTCTTATTCTTTATTTTATAGGTCCTCATGGTTGTATGGCAGCGAAGCATCAGTTCAAATGGCTGATGTACTGCTGTTGATGATGATGATGATTGCTCCTGCCTCCCATTTCTTGAGCCCTACTGGTCCACCTGGTTTCCTTGTCAGCACGTAGGCTCTGTTTTACTTCACGCCTATTAGCCTGTCTGGTCACATTGTGTTCAGAGCCAGTCGGGAGGTGTCTTCTAGATTCCAACAGGTTCACCGACCTCTCGGATAATCAGTGACTGGTGCGGTGACGATTGATAGTGCCACAAGCAGATGCTCCTGCGTCGTGCATGGCGGTCGAGATCTTATTCCACTGAAGCTCAGCGTCATTATAACAAGACTGCGGAAGTTCAGTATGCAGTGCGTCTTGATAGGCTTGCCTGACCGAGGACTGAGACAACTTCTCAGTTGCCAATCGTAGGGGACGCTTGGTGCGCTTCGCGGTAAAATTCATGGAGAAACGACAACGTACCAAGGCATGATCAGAGTCGACACAGGTACTCCAGTACCAGCGGTAATCCAGGATGAAACCACGCCATCTGTAACTTATGGCTATGTGGCCAATTTGGGTCCATCGCTGGCCAGCTACAGGAAAACGCCAAGTGGCACTTCGGCGTCCACTGTGTCTAAAAGCAGTGCTACTAAGAAACAACTGGTGCTCCGCATACAGTTGCAGTAGACGCTCACCGTTGTCAGTCCGTTCGGAGTTATGCCCACAATTACCACCGAACTGAGCTTCTGAAGAGCTCAGACGCCCTACTTGTGCGTTCATATCCCCTGCAACTATTATAATATCCGAACTAGTAGCACTGCGTAGTAGCGCGTTCAGTTCGTAATAGAATGTGTCTTTGACAGCATTAGAACTGCAGTCGGTGGGAGCATAAACGGAAATCACAAACAAACAACGTCTTGTACTACTTCGCGAATTCACCTTAGCTGATGTCGTCAAACGGGCTGCACATAAACCGCTGTTCACCGGAAGCCAAACAACCAACGATGGCTTAGGCTTGGAGCTTAGAATGATACCTACACCAGCTTGACTCGTGAGTGCTGCATCGGCGTCTCCGGATGCGTGCAACCAATAACGAGAGGATAAGCCGGGTGCAGTTAATTCAATAACCCTGTTAGGGTCATTGATCCTAGTTTCGGACACACAACACACATCAATACCCAGTGTGTCCAAGGTGCGTGCAAGTGCAGTCTGTTGACCTGTTTGTCTCAGAGTGCGAGAGTGTAGCAGCTGCATCAGCAATGATGGACGCAAAGAAACTGACGTCAGCTCACGCATTGCAAAAGCCAGAGCTACCTTCTTGAACCTGCGACATCTTTGGCGACGGAAAGGAGTTTCCCTTCGTCTGAAAGACCGGGTATACAAGGCCACAGTGAGGGCCGTTCTGCTGTATGGTAGTGAGACTTGGCCCCTTCGGTCTAAAGATCTGAGGCACCTTTAAGTCTTTGATCATCATTGTCTGCGAAGCATTGCTGGAGTCGGATGGCACCAGCGTGTCCACAACGATGATGTGCGTAGGCGAGTACTAGGTGGTGATAATCATGCTAGCTCCCTAGAACAACAGATAGCACTGAATAAGTTGCGTTGGCTCGGGCACGTGCTACGTATGCGTGGTCACCGCTTACCTAGGAGGTCCTTGTTTGGTCTGCCAGGTGTAAAGTGGCACAAGGCTCGCGGTGGACAGAGGTTGACTTAGCAGGGGGAAATGAAGTCACTGACGACCAAACTGGGTACCGTTGGTCCGTCTCGTCTTCCGGGCTGGAATCCACGTGACTCGCCTTGTGCTTGGCTCTAGACTTTACAGAGCATAGCTGGCAACCGACACCAGTGGCGCGTCTGCTGCCGTCTGCCAGTCGGACGGCCTGTTTAAAATGCGTTTGGTGCTGAGTTATCTGCGGGGCTGATTATGACGCGTGGCAGTGAAATCCGCAAGGAAGCTGTCTCGCCGATGCCGCCTTATCTTTGCACGATAGCCAGCTGTTTGTGACGGTATGTTGTCTACACGAGGTGTAGGCGCGTTGACCCTGAATGTTTGCTTAGGGCATTAAGGTTTTCAGGTAAGTCCCCCTTCTCTCCCTCTTCTTATTCTTTATTTTATAGGTCCTCATGGTTGTAGGGCAGCGAAGCATCAGTTAAAATGGCCGATGTACTGCTGTTGATGATGATAATGCCTTATGTTCGCACTATAGCAGGACGGTACGTTGTTGACAAAATGTAGACGCCTGGACGTAGATTTACCTAGAGCTTTAAGGTGATTCGCCTAGTCCCCTTTCTCTCACTCCTATTATTTTTTATGCCGAATGTCGCACTGATTGTACGGCATCGAAGCATCTGTTGAAATGGTTGATGTAATGTTGTTGATGAGGAAAAAAATCGGTTTTCAAGGACCAACCTTGACAATACCGAATGCCACAGTGTCCTTGCAGGTCCAACTCTATGGAAGAAAGTGCAAATACAAAGTAGCGTAGTGCATTTTTTTGCCTGTTCACTCATTTCGGCGCAGAGAATCATAGCCGTTGGCATGCTAATAAACTGATAATGGCAAAGGAATTCAGATCAAAGTATAAATGTCAATCAACGTAGTAGCTGGTTGTAAAGTGTGGCGATGTATGTATCTCTTGCTCTGAAAAAGCAATGGAAACCCACCCCAAAAAGTTCTTCGTCAGTCGCATCTTTGCCAAATATTTGGTTGATGTTGAACAAAGATGAGGCCGAAAAATTGTATGCGCCTGTTGAATGAGTAGCTGTATGGCAATGGATAAACCTACTGTCCAGAAAGGCAGAAAACTGGTCAATGGCTTTAGAGGAAAGTAAATCACCCTCAGTTATGGCGCATTCGCCACTGTAGATAATATCACATGTGAATAAGAACTTACGACAAATTGGCCAGCGCTACTAGACACTTCCCAGATTTAAGGTCTTCAAGTGTGACATCATAACGAAGGATAGAAGATAACCAATCGATGATACACCCCTTGTACATACAATCCATAACTACTGTAATATTCCTTTTTTCCGGCGTTCCAAGATCACCCGTGTCCAAGTAATGCGGCAAGCTGCAATGCAAAATAAATACTTCGTAGATGTCTGTAGATTGGAGCCGCCTAGTAAGAGGCCGATGTAAAGGTGGCAACTAAGGAAGCAAGGAAGAGGGAAGGGTAAGTGCCAAGTTGGAATAGGAAGGTAAGGATAACAGGAAGCGAAACCGAGCGACCTATTACCTGTTAACGTGTTACCGCAACGCCCGCAGACCGATAACACGACATTCAGCTCAAAGGTGCGCGAATTGTACGAAACACGAGGGCCAAGGGCGAATAATGCGTCAAGGTCGTTATGTAACAAAGACAAGGTCAGATCTATAACTTCCATTTAACGGGCCTCGGTTTCTTGCAACAATACGCGAAACGGCGCCCTTCATTAAAATACATTGGAATACATTGAAATATCAAGAGCAGAAAAGAGATCTTTTATCAGCTCCATCGGTTCCGAAGGATCAAAAGGTAGGTGCTTGCTGTCGGAAACTTTACTCCATCGGCGACAATCACGCTTGAAGTAAGAGCATCAGAACCCTGCCATGTGCGTCAGATGGGTGTCTAGCAATAGCTGGCAACTGCCCTCTGTCTGCCATTCAATGATACGTTTCATTGAGCTCACTGAGTTTATTGAGTTGTAGAGAGTAGCAGGGAAATCCCTTATCAGCCCCATTGATCCCTTACCATAATGGGTGTGATGCGCCTCGTTGCAATACGATGTTCCTCGAGGGTTCGTTGGGATTGCAGTGACAACCGCAAGCTTTCAGCATTCTCAGCGAATGTTTGCCTAGCAGCCGCTTAAATCTTTCCTCTGGTGGCACGTCTGCAATTTTTGCCTGTAGGCTGTTCCAATTATTCACCACTCTAGTGGATAGGGTGACAGCTGTGTGTTCTGTGTCTCCTTTGCTTAAATAGCTTTCATGTGTGCCCTCGTTTGATAAAGACTGTGTTGGAACGGAAGTATTGTTGTAACTCACTTCCAAGTTCCCCTCGGAGGATACGCTTAGTGTAGATGCGATCCCCCTGTCGACGGCGGAGCTCTAGGGTGAACTGATTTAGCTGCTGGAGTCCTATGGTGTACGGGAGATCATGAAGCCCGAGAACAGCTTTCGGTGCATCTTTTCCATCAGCTCAATTCAAACTTTGATATCGGCCGGAGCTGCGGTAGGCCATATGCTGAGACGGGAGGAATGTACGAAGTAAACAAAGGTCGAAAAACCTCAGGAGTCATCCGAGCGAATGACCTTAAGGCACCCACCAGTCTCCTTCCAGTGGCCACCATCTTCAACCTGTCCTGCGTCGTTCTAATGTATGAAGTGACGACAACCCCGAGATTTCTTTCGTGAGTGGTATTCCTGAGGAGAAAACCGCCAAGGTGGCATGCATTGAACGGTTCAGCGCTACCCATTGGGCCAACAGCGCATTTGTCTTGGTTTACTGGCATTTCCTACTTGATGGACCCAACTTGTAGCTGGGCTAGAACCCCTTGCAACATGTCCCCATCCTCAAGGCTGGATACTGTTGACCATAGCTTGAGGTCATCGGCGTAGATCAAGCAGTCGGTTTGAAGTGCAGTGGTAGCTCGTTAGTGTATAGTTTGTAGAGCTCTGTTCCAAGCACCGACACTTGGGGAATGCCACTAATCATAAGCACTGGAGCAGAGACTGTTTGGTTCACTTGTGCGCACATTGCCCTGCCTATCTATAAAATGGCAATCCAGAACATTTTCTGCAATGGAAAATTCCCTGGAGTTTATATAGCTGTTGTGCATGTGGAATCTGAGCAAAGGCTTAACTGAAGCCAATGAATATTTTGTCAACCTGTGTTCGTACACCTAGGGCTTCTGTCCATATTTCCCTGACGATGAGTAAGTTAAAGATGCTTAAGCGTGTTCTCCGAAAGCCATGTTGAGCAAGTGTGATGAGGTGTAGATTAACACAGGGTAGCTGGAGGTCGCACTTGACTATTAGTTTTGTGGTTTTGCATACGACTGATGTCAAGCATGTTGGCCGGTAGTTCAATTGGTCTTGTTGGTTTCCCCGCTTGTATTTGGGCAGGACGGTACCTGCTTTCCAGCCTATGGGTAGGCAGCGGACTTCGAGTGATTACCGAATTATTTGTCAGAGAGGAGCAGCGAGGTACTTAGCTATCGTTTTACGGAAGCTGCGATGCCGTCCGTCCGGTGCTGGCGAGGAGTTGGGGTTCAGATCGAGAAGTACCTTAGTGACTACATCGGGGTTAATTTCTACTTGGTCCATAGAGAAGTAGAGTGCAGGCAAACCGTTGTTGAGCAGCGGAGATTCCAGTGAGTAGACCGTGAAATATTGCGCAGCCAGTAGGTTTGCTTTTTCTGTATGGCCGTAGAGGACGGTACATTACTTAGAAGAGGATAGAGTGGGGATTCCACTCCCCATCTCGGCATTTCGCTTCAGGTAGACAAACAGTTTCTTGGGACAGCTTTGGTATTCCATGGCCAGTCCATGTTCATATCGTAGTCTTTTGTCTCATTTTCTCCGGGTGCATCGTTTTCTGAGAGCTTTCTGCTTTAGGTAGCTTTGTGTCAGTCCTGTGTTCTTGACATATCCCCATACTTTCCGTCGTTTTACATTAAAGAGCACACTTCTTTATCAATCCATGGTGTCCGTTTGCTGGTGGCCTGCACTTGCAGCTTGGAACCCACGGTTCATTGAGCCAGATCATTATAGATCGTAGGCGTTCCCATGCGTCATCAAGCACCAAAGCTTGCGGAATACCGCAGTCTACGTTATTTGAAGTCGTTCTTAAGCGAGGCTGGTCAGTGCGATAGAAATTTTGATGCAGTGCCCCTCTGATCGTGGAGTTTGAGCAGCCGTGTCCACGAGAAGGAGGCTGTACAGTGATCTCCCTTCCTAAAATGTTGGAGGCTTGTTATGTCTGAGGCATAAGATGGACAAAATTGAGAACCAGGTCCAGAATGTTCTGTGTCTGACCAAGGACCGTCCGCGTTGGTTTGAAGACATGCTGTATCAGGTTGCACCCGTGAACAGTATAAAGGAGATCGACTTCAAAGGAGTCATGTAGGAGCTCACTGTGATGACGGTCCCAGATTATGCTAAGTGCGTTGAAGTCACCTATAAGGCGACGGGTTGTTACTCTGCCGTGCGTTCGCACGGAGCGTAATAGTTGTGAGTCAGGTCCTGCAGGGCTCTGTAGACCATTCCGACCATCAGCGCTTGGTATCCGCCATGAATTCAAAATCAGAGCATTTCTGCCTTATCATCCTGTCACAACCGGGTGCGACAACTTGGGCCTTGGGTCAGTTCTTTATGTAGAGGATTATTACGCCTCCAGACCTCCCACCAAATCGAGCGCATCGATGTGGGTGATATCCTGCAACATGAAGGAGTCAGGTTTATCCGAAGACAGCCAGGTTTCGGGGAAAGCCACAAGGTCCGGTGGCTGTCCAGAGATAAATAATGGGATCTCATCGAGTTTGTTTCTGAGACAGCGCACATTCGCTAGTATTACCCGTAGTCCGTGCTTTACGTTCCACGTCCTGGAAGAAGAAGGATTGGCCTCCATCGAGCTCTCTGCGTTTTTCAGACTACACGAAAATCCACTAAGTGTAGATCAGTATCGCCATTTGTTCGTCGTGTTCAAAGCTTGCAGACAGCTTGCCTCAAGCGGTCTCGGTCCGCCAAGGAGAGATCTTTCAGAACGTAGCAGGGTTCTCCCTTGATGCGCGGAGTCCGTCTCAGGAGGCGTTGGCATGCTTCTTCATAGTGACGGACGATTTTCAGAGGACGAATCTTGGCTGGGTCCTCTTGTTTTCTGCCAAAGCGAAAAGCAGAAATTAGCTTTGTCCCTTGCTCCTACCCAGCAAACAACATGGAGACTATTCGTTTAGGGAAGACTTGGACGTCGAGTATCCTTTCAGCTGGGGTCTCTTTGTTGGATTTTGTAACGTTTGTGAGTATCAAGCAGCGGTTGCGAGCAAGCAGCTTGCCTTGTTCCGGTGCTGCTGACTTCTTGGGCATTTCTTTTCTTTGGCCAATTTCTTAAGCTGCGCTACTGGCTATGACGGGTTTTAGTTCTGCGTGTTTGGTATTTGATTTTACCTTGGGTCGTGAGTAGGTCTTCTTCGACGCATTGTTCTCAGCCATGGTTGTCCTCGCTTTTGTGGATGTGCTGGCGCATAGGACTTGGGCTTATCCGTCAGCCCATTCCCATTCTCCCCAGGCAGCGGTGTTAATTCCAGTGTGGTGAAGGACGCTGGCTTCGTTTCCGTTTCGGTGTGTTATACCCAAACGAGGGCAGACACGCTGATGAGATAGATGGCTCGTTGTCCGAGTTGGCCACGGCATGCGCAGAAGCAGTATATACGTTGAAAGGATTCGTCAGAAATTGCTTGGCGTTGACCAGTTTTAGACAGGGTCGCAGTGAAAGTGGGCAACTTTAGAGGTTGTGCTCTGAAAAATTGGGAATTATCATTAGCAACGTTACCGCAAACTAGGTGCATTCATCTGTCGCAGATCGCGCATCGGACGGCCCAAGATCGTGGGATGACACACTTTCCTCAGTCCACGCATGTGGGCGTCCTATCTTCCAAAGGAAAATGAAACTGCAGTCAAAATTCGTCAAAAGTATTCACCACATTTCTTCACGAGAATGCCCCCTAAAAGATTCAAAAAGATGGCACGACAGAAAAGGAGTTATAGCGTAGTACTCACAAAGCACTCGACTGCTGCAAGTATTTACCACGTTGGGGTATATCACACCTTACCGACGAGCGCCATGTCCTCGGCTTAAATGACTCTTTTGTAGCCACGTGTGGACTTGCTCACACTTAGATGGAAGAATTGCTGCAGCTCACTTCCAAGCTCACCGCTTATGGTGCGTCTGATCTAGAGATCTCCGCGAAGGCGGCGCTCTTCCATGGAGAAAAGGTCCAAAGGCCAAAGGTGAAGAGTGTAGGGAAGTGCCCGAAGCGCCGATATGAATTGAACAACACCTCTCTACCTTCTCTACCAAATTATCTTCAGATTTCGTTAGGTGTTAAGCGGCCGGGAGCCTCTATGCTAGTATCGGAAGGATATGCGAAGCGAACAGCGTACTAAAGACCGGCTTAATTTTACAGAACAATCTTCGCAAAGCCCGGCGCATTGGGTTGGCTGCCGCGGCCTTCGCCTCGAGTCGTGTGATGTGTTGAGATCGAAGGACTCCCAGGTCCTTCTCATGTGTGACATACTTGAGGAGATATCCTCCAATGTAATACGCACCGAAAGGATCCGGGTCACCAATCGGGAGAACGACCCATTTGTCCCGGTTTATGGGGCGTCGCCCCGCAACGGACCATTT